CATACCATTTTACTGGAGTACACATTTAAAGAAAATGGTTAAACTCAAGATTGAGACAGGGAAGACTACTTTGCTCTTTTAGTGACCACATCATAAAATCACATTCAAAACACTTAATTATTTCACTATTTCTCTGTCCACTTTATAGCTTTCTGCGTATGTGAATATTAGACAATATTTAATTGATTAAGTAATGTAATTTCTTCCAAATATAATATTAACATTAAATAAAAGAGCAATTGCTATAGATTTAATTTGAACTCCTGAGGACCCTATGTATGTCAGAGTAGAATTGTGTTCCTTGAGATTTTCAATGATTGATTTTTCTGAAGTATACATCTAGGACGTTTTTTCTAAATTTTAATGCATGTGGGTGCATTTCTTTTTTTAAATTTTTTTATTGTACTTTAGATGAAGGTTTACAGAACAAATAGTTTTCTCATTAAACAGTCAGTACACATATCATTTTATGACATTGGTTAACAAATCTATGATGTGTCAACACTCTCCCTTCTCCACCTTGGAAGACTTTTTTTGGTAAAAATATACATAGCCAAAGTTACACCATTTTGAAAGTTTCTACATGTACAATTTAGTGACATAGATTACATTCTTCCAGTTGTGGTGCTATTCTCACTATCCTTTTCCAAATTATTCCATCACCATTATCTTCAACTCACTGTTCCCTAGGCTTCCCATCAAACCTTTTGAGTTTCTGTTGTAAATTTGATCTCACATAGATAATTTTTCTTCGTACCTTAGATGAAGGTTTGCAGAACATACAGTTTCTCATTAAACAGTACACATATTGCCCTATGACAATGGTTAACAAACCCACGACATATCAACACTGTCCCTTCTCAACCCTGGGTTCCCTATCACCAACTTTCCTGTCCCCTCCTGCCTTCTAGTCCTTGTCCCTGGACTGCTGTACCTCATTAGTCCCGTTTTGTTTTATGAGGCTATCCAATCTCTGGCTGAACGGTGAACTTCGAGAGTGACATCACCATGTGCTAAAAGGGTGTCCGGGGACCATACTCTCGGGATTTCTACAGTCTGTCCGGCCAGTAAATCTGGTGCTTTTTTGTGAGTTAGAATTTTTTTCTACATCCTTTTCCAGCTCTGTCCAGGACCCTGTATTGTGATTAGGTCAGAGCAGTCAGTGGTGGTATCCAGGCACCATCTAGCTGTACTGGATTCAGTCTGGTGGCGGCCAAGGTAGCTGTGGTCCATTAGTCCTTTGGACTAATCTTTTCCTTGTATCTTGTTCTGTTCATCTTCCTTGCTCCCAAAAGGGTGAGACCAGTGGAGTATCTTAGATGGCTGCTCAGAGGCTTTTAAGACCCCGGACGTTACTCACCAAGGTACAGGGTAGAACATTGTCTTTAAGAACTGTGTTATGCCAATTGAGCTAGTTGATCCCTGAGACCATGGTCCCCACAGCCCTCCACCCAGCAATTCTGTCCCTCAGGGAATTTGGAAGTGTCTATGGATCTTCCATGACCTTTCCCTGTACAAGTTGTGCTGCCTTCGCTAGTATTGTGTACTGTCTTACCCTTCACCGAAGTTACCACTTACCTATTTTCTATTTAGTACCCCCGCCGTCCCTTTTAACCAACAAAGATTGTTTCTTTTTGTGTGTAAACTTTTACAGGAGTTTTTACAGTAGAGGTCTCACACAATATTTGTCCTTTTGTGACAGACTTACTTCACTCAGCATAATGTCCTCCAGTTTCATCTATGTTATGAGATGCTTCACAGATTCATCATTGTTCTTTATCTTTGTATAATACTCCATTGTGTGTATGTACCATAGTTTGTTAATCCATTCATCTGTTGATGGGCATCTAGGTGGTTTCTATCTTTTTGCTATTGTAAACAGTGCTGCAGTGAATATGGGTGTGCATATGTCTATTTGTGTGATGGCTCTTATTTCTGTAAGATATATTCCTAGGAGCGGGATTGCATTTTGTAGTGCTTTTGTGTGTGTGTGTGTGTGTGTGTGTGTGTGGTGCTGACGATTTCTTTGTTCCTCTTACCCTCCTGTGCTGAGTTCCTTTTGTTTGTGGATTTTTTTTCGTTTCTTGTTTTTGTAGGCTTTGTCTTTACTGAGACTTTATGTTTTTCCTCTTTATTTTGATGAGTAGGTTTGTTAACTTTCTTTGTGGTTACCTTGAAATTTACCGTTATCTTCCTAGATTTGAACAAGTCTATTATTACTTGGTATCGTCTTGTCTTCCTCTCCATTAGAAGGTTCTATACCTACACCATTTATTCCCTCTTTTATTGTTCTCATGTTTTTGTCATTTACAGATTAACCTCTCTGGTTCCCTGTTGTAATTCTTTTGGTTTTGCATAGTTCTTAAGAGTTCATTTCCTAGGTTGGTATCTGGCTAGTACAATCCTGTGTCCTATAGTCAGCCTGTGGTCTGATGTTGTTTGTTATCAGATTGAAGGACTCCCTTTACTAATTCTTGTAAGTTTGGTTTGGTTTTTACATAGTCCCTTCATTTCTGTTTATCTGGAAATAACCTAATTTCACCATCATATTTGAACAAGAGTTTTGCAGGATATATTATTCTTGGCTGGCAATTTTTTTTTTCAAGGTTTTATATATGTCATTTCATTGCCTTCTTGCTTGCATTGTTTCTGCTGAATAATCCGAGCTTAGTCTTATTGTTTTTCTTCTGTATGTGGCCTTTTGCTTTTCTGTAGCTGCTCTCAGGATTCTTTGTGTTTGGTTTTAGCAAGTGTGATTATGATATGTCTTGGTGATTTTCTTTTGGGGTCTATCCTATATGGGGTTCGTTGAGCTTCTTGAATGGTCAGCTTTTCGTCTTTCACAATATTGGGGAAGTTTTCTGTCAGCAGGTCTTCCATGATCTTCTCTGTGTTTTCTGTTTTCTCTCCCAGTTCTGGAAATCTAATCACTTGCAGATTTTCACTTTTGACTGTATTCCACATAATTCTCAGGGTTTCTTCAATTTTCTTCTTTCTTTTTGCTGATTTTTCCTCAGAGTTGTATCCAAGTGTTTGTCCTCAATTTTGCTGATCCTATCTTCCATCATTTCAAATCTGCTCCTCAGCCCTTCTATGACACTGTCCATTTTTGAAATCTTGTTGTTTATCTTTTGGATATCTAATTGTTGTTTTTGTATGATTTCTAGTTCTGAATTTATTTAAGTATTTTGTTCCTATATTATTTTCTTGAATTCTTCCAATTTTTTGTCTGTATTTTTCATGAATTTGTCTGCCTTTTCCATGTATTTGTCTATTTTTTTCCTCATTTGTGTCTGCTTTTTGCTTCAACTCGGATAATTCTGAATATTAGAGATTTGAATTCCCTATCAGTTAGGTCTATTGCCTTTTCTTCTACTGGAAGTTCATCTGGTGTTTTGTTTTGGATGCCTACTAGAGCCATCCTGTCCTGTTTTTGTAAATGTTTTGATATTTTCTGCTGTCTTCGGGGGCATTCAGTGGTTATTTTTCTCGTTTATTGATTGTAGATTTGTTTGTTTTGTCCTGCTTTTCATTTTATTTCGTTATATCTGAGCAGGAGGGCTATGCATTCTTTGTTGTTTGCTTGTCTGTGGGCACAGTACTTTTCACCCCCTTCTCCAATGGGCAGGGTCAATCACGTATGGTACAGCAAGGAAGTCCAGCTGAAAGGGAGTTGCTGGGATGGGTTGTTTGTGACATGTACCAGGGCTGACAGTGTGGACCAAGAATCAGTGCACAGCAGGTTCCAGTATGCCACGCCTGTGCTGCTTGGGAGTGTGATGTTCAGTGCACTGTCCAGGTAGGCAGGAAGGAGAGGGTAGATTGTGATGTGTAGCGCTAAGATAGGTATGGGAAAGAAGAGAGAGAGGAGAGAGGAACAGGAGCCAAAAACATACACACAAACAAAAAAGAGTAGAAAGGGAGCTTGCTATTGGAGTGGAGAGATGAGAGACTGAGAAATGAAGAGAAACAAAAATGGGAAAAAAAGGGAAAAGAAAAAAATTAATAAATCGAGAAACTGGAAGTGAAGAAAGACAAAAAGGAAATAAGAGAGAGAATAAAACAAAACAGAGAAACAAAAAACAGGAAAAAAGAAATGCCCCCAGGGAGGTCCCTGTGCATCTGTGCAGAGTAAGGGAGTAGCTTCCAAGCCACACAGTACTGCTTGGCTAAAAGGGGGTCTCAAGCTGGTTGATCTGTCTCCTGCTGGAAGCTTCATGAAGCTGCTTTCTCGTATGCCCTGTTCGCTGGTCTCTGATAGGAGTCCAAGATGGTGGAACTGTGCTGCATTAGCTGATAGGGGAGTTCTGCATGTACCTCTCCTTGTTCTCTGTTCTTGGTCAGTTTCTTATTCCATTTTGCCCTTGGCTGAGTTCTTTATCTGTTCATTTGATGTGTAGGGTTTCAGGATTGATGTGTGGCTCTGTTTGACTTAGTTTTACTGATCTTTGCTGTGGAGGGATGGCGTGGTGCTTCTGACTATAACGCCATGTTACCCAGAAGTCATGAGTGCATTTCTTAAAATAAGATATAGAGTAAGGGAAGAAAAAATAGGAATAGTAAACCTGAACCAACATAAAACATGAGCCTATTTGCTTGGCTGAAGAAAAACAATGATAAGAACCAGTTATTCCCTTTATAAGAGAACGTTTGTCAATTCAATGACAGAGGAAAATATCAGCACCCACCAGTAGCTCTGCAAATACAGCTCTATAGCTTGGAATTTGTAAAAATCTTTAGGATGTTCTATCAACTAGTCAAAATGTCAGACACACAAAAAGTGTATTTCCTGTATTTTAAAATCTAATAACTATATAAAATTATTAGATAAATAATTAAATATATGATACAATCTTTGATCATTAACTTGGAATAAACTATGTATGCTTTTTGAGTAGTTGAATTTAGGACAATAAATTGTCCCAACGTACTATAAACTTTTAAACTTTGTGTTAACAGTAGTGCTTGCAGAAAGTAACACTGGTGCACTAATGAATTTTTTAGGAGATCTTCCTCAAACTCAGAAGTTGAGTGCTCAGTCTTCTCAATGCCATCTTCATGTCCTTGTTCCTCAATGTGTAGATGGCAGGATTCAGGATGGGTGTAATCATGAAGTCCAAAATGGCAAGAAACTTATCCAGGGGCACTGTGGGAAATGGCCACACATAGACAAAGATGCACGGTCCAAAGAACAAAACCACCACAGTGATGTGAGCTGACAAAGTAGAAAGGGCCTTGGAAAAGCCACCTGGAGACTGTTTCCATAAGGTGACCAGGATGAAGATGTAGGAGAAAATCAATAAGAAGAAGGTTCCCATGGAAATAAACCCACTGTTGGCACTAACCACAAACTCCAGTTTGTAGGTGTCTGTGCAGGCAAGTTTGATAAACTGAGGTAGATCACAGTAAAAGCTGTTTATCTCATTAGGGCCACAAAAATGCAAATGGACAACAAAAGCTAGCTGGATCACTGCGTGAATGAGACCAATAACCCAAGCACCAACCAAAAGCCAAATGCACATCTGTGGACTCATGACCGTCAAGTAGTGAAGGGGCTTACATATAGCCACATAACAGTCCAAGGCCATGGCTATGAGCAGCACCATCTCAGATCCACCCAGGACATGAAGTACAAAAATCTGGATGACACATCCCTGGAATGATATGGTGTTTTGCCCAGAGTACAGGTCAGAAATCATCCTAGGAACCGTTAAGGTAGAAAAACACAAATCCATAAATGAGAGGTTGGCTAACAGGAAGTACATAGGGGAATGCAAATGAGAGTCAAACGTCACTGTAAACACAACCAGGAGGTTTCCCAAAACAATTGTTACATAAAACAATGTAGAGAAGGTAAGGAGGAAATGCTGCATTGGTCTAGAGGTAGAAAGTCCCAGGAACACAAATTCAGAAACCACAGAGTAATTTGCTTCATACATTGACTTTGTTGTTGCCTAAAAGTCAAAAAAAAAGGAATGACAAAGGGAATACACCAGAAAGGAACAGTGACAGAAGCAGATTTTAGTTGTTTTTAAATTCTGGTATAGAGAGAAATCTTCACTAATAGCTACAAAGTATTTGGAAAAAATTCATGAATTCATTTATCCATTAAACTAATATTTCTAATGAACATTTACTATATGCTACAATCTATGTTATGATCCAAGGTAAACCACAGAGCCTGACTTTGTGTGGTTTACAGTATAATGGTGGTTCTAACAATAAGTAGTCATAAATATAGATATAATTATGATAACTTATTTGAAGGAACAAAACAGAGTACTATGAGAACAGTGTATCTCATCAAAGAGGTGCCTGCTCTGGACTCTGCCAAATATGTTGTTATTCCTAAAATTTAAGTAAATAGTCCAGCCTAAGGAAATATCATGTGCAACGGTCCTGAGACAGTAGTCCAGTGGGGCAAGAGGATGAATGACTGAGATCAGGCTGGAATGATAGGCAGAGTACAGACTTGACAAAGTCTTGTATTCATGATGAGAACTTTGGTTTTTATCCTAAGAGCAATAGAAAGACATTGAAGGATTTTCAGCAATAGTCTGATCATATTTCTGCTTTCAAACCATCACAATAGCTTCAATGTAAAGAATGGAGTGAAAAGGCTAGAATGAAGCTTACAGTGACCTATCAGAAAACTCCTGAAGAACCATGTCACATCAGTGTGGACAGGGTGAATTATTCAACCAACGGTGTTGGCACAGCAGATAAAACTTGGAAAAATAACGTGTTTCAGGTGGATACTTAAATGTTAAAAAAAGAAACAGATCGAAAGAAAGCATAGGATTATCAAGACAAACATTAAGTGGCAAAATTAATTTTAAGCATATCCCCGTATTCCTAAAACCTGGAAAAATATTGACAGTATTCAAAAATTAAAATTAATATATTACATGCGCATATATGCACACATATACACAAATAAAGATAGCACATAAATATATACATATATACTAATATAGATGCAAGCACTCTGAAAATAGTTGTAAAAAAAGTTTAACATAGTTAAAAAATCAGCACAAATGATTAATATCTTTAACATAAAATTAGTTCTTCCAAATTAAAAAATAAAAAACCGTTGCCGTTGAGATGATTCCTACTCACAGCGACCCTATAGAACAGAGAAGAACTGCCCCATAGAGTTTTCAAGAAGCGCCTGGTGGATTCGAACTGCTGACATTTTGGTTAGAAGTCATAGCATTTAACCACTACGCCACCAAAGTTTCTGTTCTTCCAAATAGATAAGGAAAAAACAGTGTGATTTACCAATTTAAAAATGAGTAAAATCTATAAAGACTATCGACAAAAGTAATCCAAATAAGCAATAATCATATCAAAGGTAAAACTCTTATTCGTTGGAGGATATTGAGGTCAATTGGCATAACAAAGTTAATTAAGAAAGTGTTTTACATCTCACTTTGGTGAGTTGTATCTGGGGTCTTAGAAGTCTTCGAGCAGCCATCTAAGATACATCTATTGGTCCTATCCCACCTGGAGCAAAGGAGAATGAAAAAAAAAAAACAAAGACACAGGAAAATACTACCCCAAAGGACTAAAGGACTACATGAACCAGGGACTCCACCAGCCTGAGACCAGAAGAACTAAATGGTGCCGTCTACCACCAATGACTGCCCTGACAGAGATCACAACATAGCGTCCCGAACAGAGAAGGGAAAAATGTAGAACAGAATTCAAATACCCATAAAAAGAACAGACTTACAGGTCTGACAGAGACTGGAGGAACCCCTGAAACTATGACCCCTGGATGCTCTGCTAAGCCAGAACTGAAACCATTCCTGAAGCCTACTATTCAGACAAGGATTAGACAGGCCTATAAAACAGCAAATAATACACTTGAGGAACATGCTTCCTAGTTCAATCAAATACAGGAGACCAAATGGGTAGCTCCTGTCCAGGAGCAGGACAAGAAGACAGGAAGGGATAAGAACTGGATGAATGGATACAGGAAACCCAGAGTCGAAAGGGGGAGCATGCTGTCACATGGTGGGGATTGCAACAATGTCACAAAATAATATGTGTATGAATTTTTAAATGAGAAATTAACTCGAGGTGTAAACTTTCACCTACCTAAAGCATACACACAAAAAAAACTCATTAGTAGCCAAATAAATGTAAATAAGACATGTGTGCTACTTTGAACTGAGTAAATTATCTTTTTTTTTTTTTTAAATTGATGATTCACCATAGATCAAGCTGTAAGGAAACAGGTACTGTCATACATTGATAATGAGAGTAAAAATTGGTACAACTTCTCCAGTGACCTTATGTACAATAGAATGAAATACTGTCCAGTCCTTCACCATCCTCACATTTGTTGCTATGTTTGAGCCCATTGTTGCAGCCACTGTGTCAATCCATCTTCTGTTTTTAGTGCCTTCCAACCTGAGGGGCTCATCTTCTGGCACTGTATCAGTGTTCCATTGCTATTCATAAAGATTTCACTGGCCAAATTTTTCAGAAGTAGATGGCCAGGTCCTTCTTCCTGTCTGTCTTAACCTGGAAGCTCCACTTAAAACTTATCCACCATGGTGACCCTGCTGCCATTTGAAATACCAGTGGTATGGCTTCCAGCATTACAACACACATGTCACCACAGTATGACAAACTGACAGTTGAGTGGTGGTATATTTGCTTGAACCGTATGAACTTTTCATTTAATTGAAAGATTGTCAAGTATAATCAGTTTTACAAAGTTTGATCTAATATATTGTTATACTTTTTTTACACAATTTCCTAAATTACCTTCTCTTTTAGCAACCAAATATTATTGATTCTTGTTCCATACATGAATTGAATACCATTGGTTCCCCACTTGTTCTCATCTGGGCTCTACACCACTGATAACCATTCTTTCTCATGTTTTCACCCCATGCTGTGTCACTCTGCACCATGTCCAGACTCCAGCTTGGGCACGACCCTGCACAGTTTCAGCAGGAGAGCAGCAGAAGTGGGTGGGAGAACCATGGACACAACAGAGTCAAGAATAGACTTGACAGCAGCCAGGCCAGGCAGAAATGGGCATCCTGAGGGTTACAGACATGGAGCAGGTATTGTAACCAAAAGGAAGACAGGGGTACTGCTAGAAGGCCCCACCACAAGGACATTGGATAGGGAGTTTTTAGCCAATAGCTGTGAAAAATAGAGAAGTACTCAGCATGTGAGAATGAGACAATCTCTGAAGGGTGTGGCAGTGGATGTGACATTGCTAGGTACCTATAGCCAGTCTCTCTCTAAAAGGAGTTGACCATGCAACGTATACATTTCAAAAGATGCATGGTATGAAACACAAAAAAATACATTCAGTGTATTCCCAACTGTAAAAATGAACAAAATTATCTTAAAGACCAAAATAAAAGTTTAAAAAAATAAAGAAGTACTGATAGTTTTTTTTTTTTTTTTTTCTGAGTGGTAGAAAAACAGATAATTTCCGTTTTTCCTCTTTCTTTATTATCCAAGTGTTGAAAATCAGTTTATTAATAAAGAAATTGTTTTCATTTGATAAAGTTCAACAGGAGAGGAATACATATTGTCAACAATCAAATGGACTATTATAGTTGATATAAAGGTCAATATATTACCTCCACAAGGAGGAGATCTAATAAAATAAATGAGAATATGTGCACACATAACTCATAATGGCAACAACACTTAAAAATGGCGAATAAAAATAAGTATATTCAAGTCACTAGTCATTAATAGCTTTCTTCCCCCAGTGCATAAGCAAAAAGAAAGATAGAGAGCAAGAGAGAAATAGAAAGAGAGAATACGCAGGGTTTTCAAAGTTTCAACATAACAATTAGTCTTATACACTTTTGGAGGTATTACAAATTGACAATTTTTTTTATAATCTAAATTGTGCAGTGAGCTCAAGCATAACAGTGATTGAGGGCACGGTGCGGTATGTCTATTTCTAGACATACAAGCAAAACAGCAAATATGTTATTTATATATATATATATATATACATATTTGCACATATAAATATACCTACACACAATACAAGCACACATGCACGTATACATATAATACGTAATTGTCATGTCGACCAAAAGGGAAGTATTAGTAGCATTACAGTACATCTAAGCATTTGGCTGCTAACCAAGAGATTGGCGGTTGGAACCAACCAGACGCTCCGTGGGAGAAAGATATGACAGTCTACTTCCGTAAAAATTTACAGTCTTCCAAACCTTATGGGGGCAGTTCTACTCTGTCCTATAGGGTCGCTATGAGTCGGAATTCGACTCAAGGACAATAGGTTTCGTTTTGGGTTTGTACACAATGTAATACAACGCAGTATTATAATCAACTAGATATACATATACAAATTGGGAACGATTTCCAGTTTTAGTGAAAAGGCAAAAAGTGCATAATAAACTCAATAACATGAAACACTGTGTATGTGTTTATGTTTGAATTTAAAAATCTCCAAAAATACACACAAATTTTAGCAGTGGTGAAGTCTGGAAAGTACAATTACATGCGGCTTTCACTTTCTAATGCTTGTAATTCTGTATTGTTTAAAAGATCTAAAACTACCTTGTATTACTTTTGACTTAAAAATTGATTTTTAAAAACACAAACAAAGAGGTTGAAACAATCATTTCGGTAAATTCAGAATATAGTGATGTCAATACCATTTACATAAGCATTGAAATAAAGTTTTATAAATGCGTGAACAACTGTTTTCTCATAAAAAATCACAAAAATCACTTTTAGAAATTGTTCCTCCCGTGGTAAACGTCATATTCATGAGCAGTCTTTTGCTAGTTTCTTAAAAATAACTCTTGTTCTGTTTATTGATACAAGGAAGAAGATGACAAAAAAACAAAAATAAGGAGGAGAGGGAAGGGGCAGACATAAGGACAGGAAAGCAATAGGAGAGAAGAGGAACAGAAACAAGCAAGAA